GGGGGGGGGGGTCATAAAGTGCAGTTCTGTATTTGTATTATTATTCTAACAGTAAAACATCGCTACTCCCCTTAGCGCGTCAATGCAATTAAGAAGTTGACATTTTGACCCCAATCCGCGCTTTTATTTCCTATCGGGTGTGCACCCTTACTTTCCACCCCCTCGGCCTAGAACGGCGTCTGGACGGGCGTCGCGATGCCAAGCGCCGCCACGCGGTCCTCCCCGAAACTGCCCTTTTAAACACGGGAATACACCCCGAATAACAACGTGGTGTTTTGCTGTCGGGATCAATTAAAAACAATCTCGCTGCAAATAGTGATTTCCTGCTAAAAGTTGTGTTTGTTGCAACGTCCTGCAAGTGCTCGCGGGTGAAACCGGGCTGCGGCAGGAGTTTGGCTTGGAAATCTTTGGTTAGAAAGCACCCCTGGATGTGTATTGAATTGTTTGCGGTCTCAAATGGACAGAACCCCAATCGGTGAGGTGATGAGAAACTTTGCAGGATAGAACGGGGAGTTTGGGGAAATTGCTTGCCTGAACCATGCTGGTTTATTGATAAAAACATTGCTATGCAAGAACGCGAGAGACCGAAAATAGCGCCAAAACCGATAATTGCCACCAAGCCCAAATATGTGCCCCCCGTTAAAATTCAACAGCGACCTGTTGCCTCGCCAAATCCCACCGCGACTGCGCCCCCTTGTCGAAGAACCAGTTTGGAGAATTTCCATCATCCGGAAAGAACCTTGGGCGACGTCCAGGAACCCGCGCGACTCGACAGGGACAACAGGCGAATTTCTGGCGAATATGCAGATAAAGAGCAGGTGCTCAGAAGAAAGACTCGCGAGGAGTTTGGTGGGCATCCGCGCCACCAACTGGACCCTGCAAGGAAACTTCCGCCCCAGCAGAGCTCGTATAATTCTAAGGCGGAAGCCGCTTTGCTCCCCAGGGAAAACACCTCCTATTTCCTGCCCCAGAATGACAAAGAGCCGCTCTACCCTCGTAGGGAATTAATGGAGGCTTTTACCAAAAGGTCCTACGAGCAGGAGCCGTCGTCGAGCCTCCGGCAGGAGACTCAGGTCAGTCAAATGACGACTTTCGTGAGTGAAAAGTGCGATAAATTCTACAGGAAAACCTTGGAGGTGAGTCAAAAACCTCCAAACTCCCCCAGCACCGTTTGCTGCAGCATTCTATCAAACGCGGCCACCGATTGTTGCGGCATCATCAACATGACTAAAAATGAGCTGAACGGAAAGCTGAGCAAACTGGAATCAGTTGACTCCAATTCATCAGACTCCGGCGGATTTAAGGATTTCATTCCGGCTCCCATTGAGGAAGCTTCATCAATGTTCCACCATCAGCGGAAGATCTCACAACCGGAGTTTTTGAACGATCGCAAGCTGTCCGAAGCGCGGCCGATCGGCCACCAGAGAAAATCCTCCCAGCCTAACTTTGACAGCTCGCGGAAGAACTACGTGGCGAACGCTCAAGCTTTGGCTCAATTCCTGCCTCAGACTGAGCAGAAAATTCTGATGCATAACCAGAAGAGCGAGGAGGCGCGCACGCGACAACCGAAATCCATTCTGTCGCAGGGAAACATTCAACAATCCACCAAGAAGTTGGAGGAGCTGCTCGCTCAGCGGCTGGAGAAGGACAAGCTGAGCAGGAAGGGCGCCCAGAATTGCCTCATTGACGGCGCCGGTGAGGATGTGGAGCAGAAAATGCGCATCCAGAGACAAATTCAACAGAAACTGCACGCTGATCTCGAGCAAACTGTCAAGCAGATCCAGGAGATTCAGAGCACTGAGTATCGGCTGCCTCAGAACCGAAAATGGAACGAGGTCAGTACGAATTGTCGTGTGGATATGAGTAGCTATAATTTCAAAAACTTTTTCTTTCACTCAGAAGGGGAAAGCAAAGTATCAAAACTTCGCAGTTCTTAGTACTTATTTTATTAGGTTGGTTGGTTGTTCTGCTTTCTAAAGCGTTTAGTCTCTCGCTCGTGCGTTACAACGT